CGGAGCCGCGCGCCGCGCCCGCGGGTTCCGGCCTGCCGCGCGCGCCGCAGGAAAGGGCGGAGCCTCTGTGACATCATCGCCGCGTGGGGGCCGGAGCTGCGCCACCGGTGAGCAGCTGCTGGGAGCGGGGCCGGCGGTCACGTGGCCCAGAGGTGGGGGGAGTCACGTGGTTCCAGGGGGGAGGGGTGCTGACCCAGGATAGAGACCCCCGCTCTTGAATGGGCTGGGAAGGGGCACTAGCTCCCCCCCTGGGGAAGGGGCTGCGTCACAATGGGGGCCTGTGACGCGTGTGCGCTGTGGGGCCAATCCGGGCGCGGGGTGGGCAGTGCCGGCTTGGGATGCGGGCAGGCCTGGCGGTGGGGCCTCTCCGCGGCCCCGGGTGACGACCTCGGGCTCGTGGCGCCTGCCTGCCGTCGTTTTGCCGCCTTCCCTTGTCCCCCTGCCTGTTTCTCGCTGCCAGGGTGGCCGCGTGTACGAAAGCCATCCGAGTTGTACGATAACGTCAACCCTCGTAGGACAATAGTAGAAGTGCTCAAAACGTAGCTTAATTTTTGAGGCAGGTCTTTGGCGCAGCAGATGCAAAACCCAGGTCACTTTCAAGGAGCCTTAACTGACTTTACGTTGCTTTGGTTTTTTTAATTCAATATATTTCGTGTTCTAAGTCAAAGCACCCAAATCAGTTCCAGATCATATCAGTTGAGTTCAATCGGTCCAAAAGCCTTATGGATGGACCAGGCAGGACTCAATCATTTAAATGCCATGTATGGTGCTACAAGTGGTGAACATCCTCCTTCCTGGACCCATTAGACTGGGGCTTAAGATGCTCCCAAACCCATTGGCAGGCATCCTACATGTAGCTCCAAGCCCAGAGGTCTTGGTGTTTGGATGCCCCCTATCATACTTGATTTGATTCAAAAGGTTGAGAAATTATTTTGGGGTTTGTGGTCAGCCCTTTCTTATGCCTGCTTACTTCAAAACAAGGAAATGTTTCAACTTGACCCAGTTCTCACTCACTCCCTGGCAAGTTACAGCAAGCAGTATAAAGTAAATAAAAACACATTTGCATACTCATTTGCATAGTTTTTCAGTGTACAATAGTTTTTCAGCAAATACAATAATTTTGAGCTTCCGACAGGATAATTTCATGTTTAAGACCTGGCAACGCTGCTCTCTGCAAAATAAGCAATGTCTCAAGCTGGTGGTTCCCTTACAGAAGCTCTTTCCGCTAGACCCTTACCCCATTTTTCTGCCCATTGTGAACTGTCAGGGTTGGTTGAAAGGGGTCCATTCAAATGGTTTGGGCACCAAAGCCTGCTTTTTAATTTAGTTTCTGGCATTCCTCATCTGACCCTCTCAAAATAACTTTTTGCAAGTTATCTAGAACCTTTTAGCTAATTAACTGTTAATGGGGAAGCTGAGGCACAGAAGTTAAGCATTTAGTTTGTTGTCACACAGTAAATTGGTGGAAATATAGCTTAGATCACTTAAGCTGCATGTCCTAAGTGCACGGGTACCATTTTGTACTGCTCTGCCTATTTGTTGGAGCAGATGTTCCATTTTTTAAATAACCTAATTGTCCTGGCACATGTTAAATTGAAAGAAATGTTATCAAAGATGGCCCAAGACTCTGCCCAGCACAAAGTCCATCTATGATCAAAGCCTTATTCAGAAATTAGGACCAAAATGTTTCCATCTTTTTAAAAAAAAATTAACTTCCTTGGGAAACATCCGTTCTTTGAACAAAGATGCATAGGTCTGTCCCACAACCCAGACACTGCTGCACAGTGAAAGTGATTTGATTTGCATTTACTCTGTGTTGTGGGAAATACTGAAAAGCAAACAAACATGATAACTGAGAAGTTATTTTTGTTTTTTGAGTTTTAGTTAACAAAAGTGCCATTCATACCATGGGTAGGTTTGTTTTTGAGATCTGGTCTTTAGCCTATGCAGTATAGCAGATGATGTTGCTCATTATTGTATTACAGAAGCAGCTTGAGGCCCCAGCTGAAATAAGTAAATGTCTGTCCTGCCCCAAGGAGTCTACAGTCTGAATGGACAAGAGAAATAGTTTGATGGGGAAGGGGGAAAATATAAGCTACAAAATATAAGCTACAAGCAGAGTAGAAAGCATGATGGTTTGTATAACGGGACAGTAGGAGTGTAGCAAAGCAACTCCATGCCCAAGGCACCATTGGCTGCTGTGGTGCTGATCATGGCAACTCTTGCTGCGGTTGTGGCTATTTTATGCCCCGCTATACAAAGGCAGCATCTAGGACTGTTGCCCCTGGTCTCTTCCCTTTCAGTCCCCATTATAGGAAAGAGGGGAAATGGCCCTCTAAAGAGGAACCAGGGTGGAGGCCACATCTTTAAGAGCAGTATAAAGGAAGGGCTTAGCAGCAGGGGAGGCAGAAGGCTCTGGCTGGACCAGGAAGAAACCCAGGAAAACTGACTAGGATAAGTGTTGGGAAAACAGGAGGAGGCCTGACAGGCCCAAAATAGAGGCTCTGTTAGGGCTCTAGAGGCTAAGCTAGATGCATCAGAGGGCAGGGACTAGTCTGGGGAAGAAGAACCCAGAGGCCTTACCTGGGAGAAGTCATAGCTGAGAATGTGACATACCAGGGGAACCAGTAAAGCCATAAACCCTGTCAGCTGGACTCTCATCTACTACCTGCACACTGTAAAGTCAAGATGTGGTTTGGTGAGATTAGTAAGGACACGTAAGTCATAGTTTCATAGTTGGTAGGGTCAGAAGGGACCTGAGCAGATCATCAAGTCCGACCCCCTGCCCTGGGCAAGAAAGAATGCTGGGGTCAAACGACCCTGGCTTGGTGATTATTTACCCTCCTTTTGAAGACCCCCAGGGTAGGAGCGAGCACCACTTCCCTTGGAAGTTGATTCCAGATCCTAGCCACACTGACAATGAGGTAGTGCCTCCTGATGTCTAGCCTGAATCTACTCTCCATCAACTTATGACCGTTATTCCTTGTTACTCCCGGTAGTGCTCGGGGGAACAGGGACTCTCCCATTGCCTGCTGGTCTCCCTTGGCCAGTTTATAGTCGGCCACCAGATCCCCTCTCAGCCTTCTCTTGTGGAGGC